TACCAAGTTACAAAACATAGACATGGGAGCGTAAAAGAGAAAAGACTGTACAAGATAAAAGGGAACAGAACAATTTGCATGACGAAGCACAGCCCTTCAGTACTAGCATTCTGAATCTTTAGAGGTCATGTGAATTACTGGTCTAAACAAGAAGCTGAAAATAATCAGTTAGCCTTACTTATTTGCACATCAATAATTTAAGCATATGCCTTAAAAATAAAATATGTAAGAATCTATACACTTACCTGCTCCTACCCACAGTAAATATCCTTGTAAATGACAGCTTATATTAATTTTTTTTAGCAAATGGGAGAAAATTTGTTCTTACTCCTTTATGAATGTATATATATTTATGTGTGTATTATCACACATGTAGCTATGAGTGTGAAGTGAAGATAGACTAGGAGACAGCAGATTTGAAGCTTACATGTTTATACCCATCCTCAGAGATCACACATACTTTTTTCTCTGTGTATGTTGTCATTTGGTACACACAATTCTCAGCAAGAACCTTAATAGGAATTAAACTAGAATTAATGCAAATTTCTATTTTCACATTCTTGTGACTTTCTCAGAACCACTTGTCGGTGGCTAAAAAGGTACCCATTTCAGCTTTTTTTTAAAATTTTATTTTATCTTTTTGAAATAGGGTCTCACTTTGTAGTTGAAACTGACCTGAACTCACTATGAAGCCCAGGCTGTTCTCAAACTTACAGCGATACTCCTGCCTCAGCCTCCCAAGTGCTGGGATTACAGGCAAGAGCCACCAGCCCGGCCACTTCAGCTTTTACAAGGAGGGAATTTTTTTAAGTCTAAGAGCTATCTTCCACTGGGGCATTATTGCTGGAATAAAAAGGATGATGTCTACAGAACTAGTGGAAATTATCTCTATTTGCCTGAGAGGTAATGTCAGCAAGATGGTGAAATCCCAAAACACATCTACCCACAGAAACATTTAATTCAACAGCCAGCTACTCATGCAAATACCTTCACAAGAGCTAAGAAAACCAGGTGGATGCAGCCCAGAAATAAGAAAGACACACTGAAGGGAATAGAAAGAAAATTGTGTATCATCCCTTTTCCAACTCAGGCAGAAATCCTGGATACAGAGACCCTGCACTGGGGGGAAGGGTAAGGAATTCAGTCTCAGTCTTTGCCTCAGACAGGAACACTGGACCTGCACCAGGGGGATGCTCAGGGCCTCAGACTCCAGGCTGGAATCCATGGACTTCCCTGGTGCCACCATGGCACCTGATTTCAAAATATCCTCTATTTCTTCAGTAAACAAAATAGCATGCTAATGGCATAAAATGACAGACCAGTGGAACAGAACAGAGCACAGAAATGACCTATGCATTAAAGGTTAATTGATTTATCCACAGTGGTGCCAGGAACACACAATAGGGGAAAAATCCACTTCAATACACAGTACTGGGAAAACTGGATATCCACATGTCCAAGAATGAATTAGACTCTCCTCTCACACCACACACGAAACCAGCTCAAAATGCATTAAATACTTAGATGTAAAACCCAAAACTATAAAACTGCTAGATGAACATGAGAATAGCTTCATTCATAGGTCTATGTACAAATTACTGTTATTTTCAAATAAGCAATCCTGTTAGTACATAACCAAAGGAAAGGAAATAAACATGTTGAAGTCTATCTATACCACCAGTTCATTGCAACATTATTCACAATAGTCAAGATATAAATCAACCAATGGTCATCAGTGGATGAATGGCTACTGAAAATACACACACACACACACACACACACACACAGAGAGAAAAACAAGTTTTCTGCCTTTAAAAAGAAGTGTATGTTGTCATTTGAGACAACATGGAGAAACCTGGAGCATTCATTATACTACGTGAAATAAGCCAGGAATAGAAGGACCAGTACTACCAGATCTCACTTACATGTACACTTGCAAAAAAAGTTGAAAAAGTTGAACTCATAGAAAAAGAGACTGTAAGCAAGGGCAGCAAAACAAGCAAAGGATGCTGGCTGAACAGTATCGTTTCTGTTAGACAAGAAGAATATTTTTAAGAACCGATGCAGAGTGTGGTGACTATAGTTAATAACATGTTGTATATTTTCTTTTATTATTATTTTTAAATTACTTTTATTAGTATGTTTGCTGTATATAATGCTTGCATCCTTGTGCAGAGTTGGTAAATGTATACGATATGTCCCAATTCCTTTTTCATCCCCTTTCCCTCCTCCCTTCCTCTATTTCCATCTCTTTCCCATTTGAGAAAGTTCTATCTCCTTACTTCCTATTGCCTATCTTTTATTTTTCTCTCTATTTATACTTTGGGTTCCTCATATAAGAAAAACCATGTGATATTTAAGCTTCTGTGTCTGGTTTATGCCACTTAACATGACCTTCTTTTGTTTTTTGATACTGGGGATCGAACTCAGGACCTTGTGTTTGCCAGGCAGGCGCTGTGCCACTGAACTATATCCTTAGCCCTTCACTTAACATTATGATCTCAATATACATCCATTTTCCTACATAGGACTTAGGTGTATCTTTCTTTACGGCAGGGTAGTGCTCCACTGTGTGTAAACACCACATTTCCTTTTTCCATACATCTGTTGATGGACACACAGGCTGCTTCCAAGATGTAGCTATTATGAATTCTGCTGCTACAAACATGGGTGTGCATGGGTCACTGTAATACGATGCCTTTAACTCTTTTGGGAGGATACCTAGAGGTGAAATAGTTGGGTCAAATGGAATTTCTATCTCTAAATTTTTAAAGAATTTCCATACTGATTTTATTAGTTTACAATCCAATCAACAATATAGAAAGGTTCTTTCACCTCCCACAGACTCACCAGCATTTGTTACTTGATTTTTCTGTTTGTTTGTTTTTTGTTTTTTGAGACAGGGTCTCACTACGTAGTTGAGACTGACCTGGAACTCAAAAATACATGTTATATATTTTAAAATTTCATAGCCAGGCATGGTACTGCATGCCTGTAATCCAGCATTCGAGAGGCTGAGGCAGGAGGATCTCTGTGAGTTTCAAACCATCCTGGGCTACATAGTGAGTTCGAGGTCAGTCTCAACTACATAGTGAGACCCTGTCTCAAAAAAATTTTTTTTTCTAAAGAGTAGATTTTATTTGTTCTCAGTGATGTCAGATTATGGATATTATTTAGCTTGATTTAATTATTCCACATTGTACACATATACCAAAATATTTAATCACATTCCATAAATATTTATAATTCTTATTTGTCAGTTAAACTTAAAAGCAGAAAGAAGTTGATCTTGCTTGAGGTTAAAACTAGTTTACTTGACAATCACAATCACAATTTACTTGACAATCACAAGTGCATTACATATTTTCATTTCTCTATCTGCTGTGTTTAAATATTAGAAATTGACAGTGGTAATGATTTGTAAAATGTAGGTTTAAAATGCAACAAAACAAAGGGATGGCATCCAATGAACTAATGATCATAAAGGAAAGGCCTCGACAGAGTAGAAGTTGTTCCCCAAAACCTCTTACTAGGAATTTGTTTTTTACAAAACTCATCCAAGACTGGGGCTGCAGTTCAGTGGCAGAGCACTTGCCTAGCTTCTATGGAAACACACAAGGCCCCACCTTCAATCTCCAGCATCATGAAGGGGGTGAGGGCTAACTCACCCAGCTGAAGAAGTGGACTGAGTGAGCACGTTTCCCACTGGGTGAACTGGGATTGCAACCACAAATGAACAGGCACTTCGCGTGCAAGTGTGCAGTGGGGGAGACTTAACTAGCACAGCACTGTGAACACACTGGCCACTGGCAAAGTACTGGTTCTAAGTAAAGCCTCAACTCTATGACTATATGTATGTGCGTGCGTGTGCGTGCATGTGTATTTGTGGGGTGGTACTGGGGGACTGAACCCAGGATCTCTGCACTGAGCTACATTACCACCCCTTTTTATTTGGGTACAAAGTCTTGCTCAATTGCTAAATTGCCCAGGCTGGACTTGAACTCCTGACCCCCCAAGGCTTCAGCTTCTCAGAGTGCTGGGATTTCAGGCATTACATTTCCTTTTGTGAAGTATTTTTATCCATTGGGCCATCGAGTTCATCCAGATAGTTCACCATCAACCCTTCCTTTTATTTTCAATTTTATAAGAATCAAAGAGTCCAAAATTTCCTACATAGAGTATATTAATTTTGTTTCATTTCCCAACAATTGAGAAAAAGAGTTATCAAGTGCATCTCAACTTCCCAAGGTTTTCTCCTCCACGAAACATGGAGTAGAGATTTCATAAGACACCAAGTATATAGAACAGGTCACTGATCTAAATCAAGCGCAATCCAGATTACCTAAGAAATGCTGACATCCTAGCCACTAAGAACTGAAATGTACAGTACAGGATTAGCTTAGTTTCATTCTCCAAGTACATAAACAAGATGCCATTAACTAAATCATGGTCTTTAAGAAACAGTTTTAAGTCTGAGCTCCTCAAAGGCAGCCTGTGTGCATGACAATACTGCAGCATTCATCACTGTGGACGGAAAGATGGTGCAGGTGACAGCCAGGGTAGTGTGACAAGAATACACGTGTACTCCTACACCCTTAATCCAGGTGCTGAAATGCACAGATGACCAAGAAACAGAAATTCCAAAGATCCCCATTCATATGAAAAGTATTGTTGCTAATGTACTTAAGCATTATGGATTTAAAAGGCGCTTTTCTTCACTTGTGCAGGTTTAGATAGATTCCATCTCACTTTTTCTTTTCAGTAATTCAGAATTATGATAGTCAAATTTATGACAGAATTATGTAAGCAAATTTCAGGAGTTTTGAAAGTTGGATACAATCATGTTAAATAGGTATCCATGTGAACAAAGACTGGAACGCCATTTTTTACATGCACAGATCTATACTGGACAGATCATGATGCCTTTTCCCCGTGTGATACCATTTTACTGTTAGCACCATATAAAGCTAAGGACAAATGTTTCAAGATCGGGTACTTACTGTGGTTGGAAAATAGCGACTAGTTTTGAATTTTTTCAGAGCCATGGAGGAGGCGTAGGTGCCCAAGAAAAGAATGCAAGACATGAGTGTGATGTCAGGAACGAAATCGCAGTTGTTCCCCATGAGCGTCCCTCCATATTTCAAACACTCCTTCTTTGACACATATGTCCAGTCAAAGGTCGCATTCTGGTACCAAAGAAGAAGCATTAGATATCTTTTAGAGAACACCAATATATCAAAAGCAGCTTTTTAATCTTGATGAGCTCTGTAAGGATTATACCAAACATTTCTGTAAAATAGTTGGACGGTAACCAGTGGAGGGTGAAACTTAAGGCACTGGTACTGGAACAGCAGTCATGGCGGAGGGCTAGCAATTATGAAAGTCACAAGGAGAATGATGCAATGTGTTACCTTGTTGGGCCTGCCCACTTCCCATCTGTTTAACAGAAACAAACCACTAAGTCCTTTCCTGTCAACTTTTCAGAGATTAAAGTGAGACACATTACTATCCTGTCGCAAAATGAGAGACTCTCTGAAATGCCTTAAATGTCCAAAAAGTAATCACTTTTGCAGCACACAGCTTTTTATACTTCTACCTGATGGCCCTGTCCAACACTTTCACAAATACGCAATTTGTTTCTAAGTAACTAAAGGCTAGCAAGTGAAGAATGAAATTATAACCTAAGAACAGCCAGTCTCACAACTGCCTGTAAACGAGTTTTACCCTTTTCACTCCAGATGAGTATTATCATCCATTCCTGGAAGAGCTTGACGCCCTGAAGGTTGTGAGGTTGCATTAGGAGTATCCATCCTGTGCTACATGATATGATCTCAAGGATCTAGGTGAGCTTCATGGATTGCTACCATGCAAGTACTGTTCTTTTCTATAGAAGGCTCACTCTTCCTATTTTCTGTTTTGAATATACAGAATCTTTTTATTTTTGGGGGGGCTGGCATGTGTGTACAGCCAGTGTACCAACCCCAAGGGCTCTGAATATCAGCTGCTATCAGTACGAACTGGTTCCTTCTTTGAAGAATTGGCTTTAGCCACATAGAAGCTGCCTTAACTGGAATGTTACGCCTGTAACAGCCAGTTACCAACCAACACTAACAGAAGCATAAACTACTGCTCCATCTTGAGGTAAGAGCAACTGGGTGGCACAGGTTACACTCCAGAGCTCCACAGGGAATCAGTCACACGACAGCTCAGCTGACCACATTCTCATTTAATTCTTCCCAGTCCTAATCTGCTTTGCTCTGTTTTTAGTGAGATCACTTTCTCAAATAATTACATGCGCCTGAAATTCTTGTATCAGACTATGCTTCTAAATCAGCAGACTTACTTAAATTACAGGTTAATCAAAAGTTAATGCCTCTAAGCCCATAGTAGTTCTTGTGTAATAGGAGAGTTTGAGAGAAACTCAGGGACAATATCATCAGCTTTCTCACCCCTGGTCTGGGACAACCCTGAAAAATGAACATCCATCCCTGCTTGAATGTCTTCCGTAATGATCAGTGTTCTGGTAGCTCATTCTCTTGCTTAACAAAACTTCCCCACAAGAATTTCTTATTTTGAGCTTTCTTAAATAATTACACCTTAAGGTTCTTCTGCTGTACAGAGTTTTGTAGACTGTGACAAGCATGGCTACTTCTTGGGGAGAAATTTTCACAATCTTACCTGTCTGAATGCCAGCATGATTGGGTAGAATGGATTGAGTGTTTCAGCTTTGAAATATTCTAAATACTGGTAACTTCTATCCTTGGGAATAAGGCTAAGTACATCAGGCTATCACAGAAGACTGATTTGAAAACACCATGCAAATAAACATGGAAAGGTAAATTTCCCCTGTCCTTCCTTTGAGGGCAACGGTTCCACCTCACACCAACACAGCACTGTTGTAGACCATGCTATGAGCTCTTTGACCTGAGCAACCTAGACATAAAAGAAGAAGCTCTGGGCAGAAAGAGCTCCTATTTTAAGGAGCTCAAAAGGTAAAATTCTTCCATAAGTCAACAAAAACTCTATCATTCCTTGTAATATTTTTGTATATTAACTTCAACATGTAAACACTTACGTTGCACAATTGTTCTTCTATCAAGCTATACTTTTAAAAGGTAATTAATCCTGTGTCATTTTATTTTTTAGATTTATGCCTAGGGATGCTTTTAGAAGGATACATGTAAAGTTTTGAGGTCATAATAAATAATGGATTTCTCTGTTTTAAAATCAGCAAAAATGTGTTCTAATCTCACTTCAGGACATTAACATCAGCACAATCTTTTGCAGCTACAGTTCACTGAAGAGGTTAGATGTATTGGAAAAAATGACCCAATAGACAGCATTATTGATTTTCTTACAAAGATTCAGATTGAGGTGAAAACTATGCCATGGACATGAAACAAATGATAGACAGGTTTTCTCGCTTGTATCAATTTTAAATGCCAGTATCAGTATTTTGTAAGTAGTTTTATACTGTATTGTAGCTTCCAAACACCATTTTTCACTAAGTATAAAAACGTTGAGAAGCATGTACATATTTCAGTCTATACACAGTTTGCACTCCCATAAAATTTAAACTAATGAACAATTTTGTTTAAACATCATTGAAGACATCTATACTGTCAGTGTTACTTCAAAGTTATTACAAGCTGGTGTAAAACTGAACACTTTAAAACTCCAGGCAGGATCTGTTCGATAAAGAAAATAACCCAGAGTGACTGCTACTGAGACAAGAGAAGGCCTGACTCTCCCTGCCCCTGTGCTGGCTGAAGGGGATGTGTGGTGTCTGCCCAGCAAAGCAGCCCTCACTCTTTGCACCCCAATGGGCCAGGACAGTTTGCTTCAGGGTTCGCCACCCCCCACACACACACCATCTATCCGGATGCGTTCTTTTTGGATGTCTAGCAGTTTCTTCCCTGGCTGCCTAGCAAACACCCAACCTCCACTCCAACCTGAGTGCAGCCAGACAGCCAGAGCGCCCTCCTCCACTCAGCCTCTTCAGAGGACACTGTTGCATTTCCTGCTGCATTTTGGAGAGGGTGCTCTGCAGTGGCTAACATCAGGAAGGGCAGACCTGTGCCTGTTATGCACATACCTGTACTCATAGCACGCTTTCAGTCCTCACCCTCACTGAACTAGGCCTGCAGCTTCTACATAAGCAGTATTCCCAACCACTTCTCCGGCAATCCCTCCTGTGCTTCTGTGAAAATCAACTCACTTCGGTGTTTGTGCAAACCTGCTTGAGTAGTGTGCACTCAAAAAGTCCTGTAAATCTATTTGAGATTTTTTAATATCCCGAGTAGTGTGGACACAGCAGGCATGCATAAACACTCAGCCATTGCCACTACGCAGTACCAGGCACCAGCCATTGCACTGTGCCTTACTAACATCATGATTTTCATCTGAACTGAGCAAAGAACTCTAGGCTGCCTGACAACAATACCACCTTTGTTCAAGCATCGCTGTCTGGTCCCAGGTCAATGCAGAAGAGCCTGGCCCATCTCATTGCTACCGTCCTTTGCCTTTTAAAGAGGATTCTCACTTCTCTATGGTTTCAACCTTTGTTTCCTATGACAATTCTACACATAGGTGCTTCAAGGACTAAATCAGAACTTCAAGAACAAGAAAATGGGAATATAATCTCGCCATCCTCTCTGCTTGATGGAACACACATTGTCTCTTTTGCTTAACATGCTTACACCTTTCTATGGCAATTATATTACAGCTCTTCTTAGTGTTCAGCATTATGAGTTTGAAATGCTCAGAAATGTATCTAGTGGGTCAGGACACCTGGACTCAAACATCAACTTAGGAGTCATCTAAAAAGAACTTGTCCTAGGAGTAATAAGACTTAATACAGCTACAAAAGGAAAACATACTATGCGAAAGAACATAACACCTCCAGGGCACCCACAATAGAAGAGAAGATGTCAGAAAAGACCACCGGAGTTCTCAGGGTGATAGTTAAAGGGACAAGGACAATGGACTGAGAAATTAGTAGAAATGAAAAAAAATCCCAACTCCAATTAAAGACTATTTTTTCAAGAAATACATTGTAGTAAAGAAGAGGCTAGAACAATGCAAGGCCAAATTTCTCAAGGTTAATCAAAACTTTTTTCAATGTTTGTCATGTATGAGAAAGAATGGGGATGAAAGAGAAAAGAGACAGCACAGTCCTGAGGCAGAGGCAGGGGGATTGCCAGCCTGCCTGAATTGCATAGCAAGACCTTGTTTTAAGAAAGAAAAATGAAACAAAACAAAAAACAAACAAACAAAAGGGATAAGGAACTGCTAGGAAAAACAGAAATGGAGAAAAAAAGATCAGAGAAAGAGATAGAACTTAGCAATTATTTGAACTGGGGAATATTAAAACCACTATACTTTAAAATTATACAGTATGAAGTATAAACCATATCCTAGTATAGCCTAAAAGTATAAACTCTACTATAAAACTGCAGAGCCTGAGGGACAATGACACTCTTATTCTGCTAAAAAGTAACAAAGAAGAAAAAGAGTTGATCAAGATAGGAGCAGAGTTCATTGTAAGGTACAGCAGGCACCAAAGAAATCATAATTAATCGACTGAATGAAATTGTTCATCAGGTCTAAGATATGTGACATATGGGAGGAAGAAACCCGTCAATTTATCTACCCTTTCTACCTGTAGGACAAAATTAAAGTAAAATAAACTTTGCATTTACAATGACCAGGTAAACTACAGGATGTCTCATTACATCTGAATAATAAACAGTAATATTGTTAGTGTATGTTCTATGCACTATTTGAGACATTTATTCTAAAAAGATGGTTCAATATTTATCTGAAATTCAAATGTAACTTGACACCCTATATTTTTATGTTAAATTTGTTAATTTTATATCAATTAGATATAGGATCTTTTAAGTAACAGCATCTGAAAAATAGAAAATAGACAATTAACTAATATAAATTTTGAGTGCAATAAAGATGAGTAACAATTTTCACAAGTTTCCTTAGAGAAATAAAATATGTTCACTTAAATATTAACATAAGGCAACAAAAGAAGGTATTGAAAGCAATGGTACGGATTAGATTAGAAGAGAGTAGTCAATTTCACCTAGTAGAGAGAAAACAAAACTTAAATTAACCCCCCAAGTAGGGCAGGTCCTCCTAGAATTCATATTCAAAAGGTAGTGAGGAGTAGAAC